TTTATTAAATAAAATAACATAGTTTAATAAATCAGTTTAATAAAATAACAAATTAGGTCAATAGTTTTGAATCCTTATATTTGTTATTTAATTTGATACATATAAGTGTGATATATTTGTGAGATTAGTATGTATCAATCTAGATTTTTAAAAAAATTAGAGTTTCAATCTATATTTGAAAATTAAAATCTTAATTCAAAATTTAAAAATTCATCTTATTAAATATTGATATTTAAATTTAGAAATTGATTATATTTTTTAATATAATTAGTTTCTAAATTTAAATATCAATATTTAATAAAATAAATTTTTAAATTTTAAATTAAGTTTTTATCAAATAAAATAACATAGTTTAATATTAAAAATCTAATTTATTTTTAAAGTTGAGACTAATATATACTTTATTTTATATTTATATCTATTACTTACCCTTTTTTTTAATTAAAATATAATATTTATACAAATAAATAAAATACTTACAACTAATAATAAGTAAACAGCTGTACTTATGATGTACTTATAACTAATGCGCACTCTAGTCCCAACCTGGAATATGGACTTTCTAACTGCAAGCGCCAAGTTTCAGCGAACTCTCTAGGGCTATGGCCCAGTTTTTGAAGTTATTGGGTTTGATCCAAATGGCTCAGATTTGATTTTGTGAAGACTTAATAACACCAGCCTATTAAAGATTTATTGTTGTAAGTGAAAAGAATTTAATTTTTTTTAAATAAAATTTTGAATTGAAATTTTTTTTAAATAAAATTTTGAATTCAAATTTTATGAATAAAAAAATAAATATTGAGATAACTTCTTTTTAAATAGAATTTGACACGATTTAATTCTTAATTAGTCAGATTCAATGTCATTATCGAATATCAAAAGATTAATAAAAAATTAAAATTAAAAAAAAAAAAAAAAAAAAAAACAACAACAACAATAACACCGCACTCTAAAAAAAAAAGGGAAGAAAAAGGAAGAAAAAAGGCCTACAGAGAAAGCCCCTACCCTAGGCAGGAAAAGTAGAATGAGACAGAATCTGGAGAGGCTTCCGCTTCCCCACGGCGTTTTTCGGCATGGAAATTTCAGCTTAGGGGTCTGAATTAAGCCTTTGAATTATATTTTGGCCCCAAATTACTAATTGGGTTAGAATCTTAGACTAGAAAGTGGAATAATAAATTGTTGAATTCCATAAAAGTGGGAATGGAAGTAGGATATTTTCCTTACGTATTTGAGCTACAACAGAAACTGGCAGCAGGAAAACTACAATGAGATAGAAAAAAAGCAGAAGCAATATCCATATTTAACAAGGATATAAGAAGCAGACCCTCAAACTTTTTGCAGAAAACAAGGCTCGGGCTACATGTAAATACAGTCCCTTTCTGTTCTACAGGTCTAGCTAGAGCTTTTTAACATTTCCATAATTCTACAGTTTTCTTCTATGACTTTTCCATAGCCTCTATTGAGTCTATTCTTCAAAGCAAATGAATCCGAGGTGGGCTCACGGTGTGAAGAAATTGTTTCCGAAAATGGGAGATTTTCTGTACATAAGGCTTGGTCATGTCGGTTTGTTGGCATCTAACTATTGTGTACATTAATTTTAAGGTGATTGAATGAAATTGTTTTATGAGTCCATCTGTGCATCTAGTAATTTGATAATTGAGATAATATTATAAATAAGTTGAGCTACGGATGGATGTGTGGACCAGCTTGAATTTGAACAAGTAGTTTCGGTAAGGGGTAAAAAAATAATATGAAATTGTGAAATATTTATATATGCAAAAGTGTTTAATAATTTTAATTGTAAAATACTAATTTTTAGATGGAAAATGACTCTTTAATATTGAAATTCTTCTTTAATTTAAAATTTTTATTTTATAATTTGAAAAGTGCAAATTATAAAATAACTCATATATATAATTCAAAAAGATGTAATATAATTTAAAATATATTAAATTATATTATATTAACTCTTAAATAAAAATTAAATTTTTTAATATTTAGAATCCTTCTCTAGTCTAATGATTTCTACTTTACGCTTTAGTGCATTCCATACTTTAAAACATAATTTTTATATAATTATTTTTTTCAAAAATATAAAAAATAAGATTCATTTAATAAATAATTATGATAAACATCTTAAATACCAAGATATCATAATTTTTCGGACTCTCTTTTATTTTTATTTCCCTGTTTGTTATGTTTGAAGTGTCAACGTCGGCTCTAATTTATTAAAAAAAATAAAAATCTGACTCAAATGAGAAACGAGAATGACCATAAGATCGCAGTTGACCCAAAGAGTTAACACTCGGCCCGACCGCCTATGAGCCTCCCAAAAAATAAAATAATAATAATAACAGCAGTAATAATAATAATAATAAATAAATAAATAAATAAAAAGCCCTAACACATTAACGCAAATACAGAGTCTTCCTTCATGCCATTTTTCAATTCAATCACTCTCACTCACAGGTTTCTTCTTCATTCTTACTCCGTTCTGCACCCTCTGTTTCAATCATGACTCTGTCCTTCTTTCACTTCGTTCTTTCTCTGTTCAGCACTTTCTTGTCGGAGCCGCCATTTCCTTTGAAGTTTCTGAAATTTTCGTGGTTCTGACTTCAATTATATTTTGAAGGAGTTGCTCTGTCTTTCATCTTCTCTTCATCATGAACCTCTTTCACATGGAACTCAGTTTCTGAAATTGGAAATTGTTCAATTCTGGTTTAGCATTGATTGAAATTGTAATTTTTCTGTGGATTTTCTTGATTTTGTGAAAACAGCCCAAGGAATATTCTTTACAAAAACCTTACTAAAAAAAATTATAGTTTAAATTTTTAATTTGGTCTCTTAACTATTATATAGATTATCAATTTGGTTTTTAAACTAAAAAAATTTTTAGTCCCTAAACTATTATACGGATCTCCGATTTGGTCTCTACTATTTATCAATTTGCCCTAAGTTGGTCTTTCTATATAAAAACAATTTACGTGTCTCATTATTAACATGACACGTAATCGTTAAGTTGTTATTTTTTATAATTAAATTATTATTTTTTATAATTAAATATTAGATACGTCAGCTTTTTTTGTACAAAAAGACTAATTTGGGGCAAATTGGTAAACAATAAGAACCAAATCGGGAGTTCGTATAATAGTTTAAGGATCAAATCAGAGATTTTTTTAGTTCATAAACCAAATCGGAGGTCTATCCAATAGTTTAAGAACCAAATTGAAAATTTAACCAAAACTATATATCAAGAATTCTGTATGTGGCTAATAAGTGGATTAGTTAATCCCAATTTGTCTATTTGGTCGTTAAATGTGTGTAATCTTGACTTGATTGAGTAATGTAGTCAACCTGATTCATGATCATACACGACACTAGCTAGAGATAGAACAAGTAACAGTGTTAACAAACATAAACGGACAAGAGTTCAAGAATTTAGCTTGATGAACGCGAAACAGAGTCCTAACAAATTTAAATTATAATATTTGTTATGATTTAAGTTTACTTTGAGGAGAGGATAGGAAAGAATTTTTGACCCATTAAGTTATAAGATTTAAAAATAATATAATTTAATTAATTAAAAAATCTTCTCTTCTCCTTTTCTCTCCTCTGATTTCTGCAAACCAAACTTATAATAAAGTTAGATTATGCATTTTGACAAAAAAAAAAAAAAAGGTCATTTTGTAGGCCAAGTCCGCATAGTACCTAATTAAGGTAATTAATCTGAATTAGAAGACTCGGAAAGCTTAGATTTGACTTTGTAAGACTTAGACTCAGCCTAAAAAGAAATAGCTTAATTTAATACTAATGATATGTTGGTACGAGTGGAAAGAGTTTGGTTTCCCTTAAACAAGATTTTGAGTTCAAATCTGATTAATCGAAAAACAAATACTATAAGAGTTTTCTTTAAATGAGATCTGACACGATTCGATTCCAAATTAGTTGGAACCTAATGTGATTATCAGATATCGAGAAGTTAGTATAAAAAAAATAACTTAATTTAATAAATCCTTTATTAATTATTGACATTTTTTTGATTTAGCAGAAAATTTTTATTTTCTTTTAAAATTGTCTATTAGTTTTTTAAATTATATTGATTTCGTTTATCTAATACAATTTTATTAAATAGGTTAACGAAAATTCAAGTCATCATTTATGTAGTGCTGCGCAAGATGCCATGTAAACAACACATGGCCTAAAAACAAAGGAAAAATCTTTGCCTCTTTGTTTCCCTAACATTCTTAACTACAAATAATTAAATTATAGACAAATTTAATTAAAACAAAACTCAATCAAAATAACAAAAGCAAAATTATTTAGGCCATGTGTTGCTTACATAGCAACTTACATTGCATCACATAAGCAATGATATGGATTTTTGTCAACCTTAGTAATGAAATTACATAAGGTAGATAAAATTAATATAATTTTAAAAGTTAATAAATAATTTTAGTAAAAAAATAAAAAAAACTTAAATTAAAATAAAAAGAGTCAACATTTATTAGATGATCTGTTGAATTAAGCCGATAAGAAAGCCCATGAGGCCCTAGCACACCATTCTCCAATCAGTTCAACCTCAATTTCAAAGGCCACCATTTCTGATGAAGTTTCTGGAATTGCCCTGGGTCGGTCTCAATTAGATGCTGAAGTAATTAATTATGAAATCTCAGGAGGTCTGGGTGCAATTGAATTTTGAAGGTATTGCACTGTTCTTCAACCTTTGTCCATCGTGTATCTTTTTATTTTTCTGAAATTGGAAATTGTTCTTCAAATTGTGGTTTTGCTTGTGATTAAAATTGCAATATGGTTCTGGGGTTTTTCTTGATTTTGTGAACTAGACGTTAAAGAAGCGAAACTGAAGAGTCGAGCTCAAAATCAACGTCAACCCCAAGGTATAATCTCTACAAAACCTTATTAAAAACTATATCTACATATCAAGAATTCTGCAGGTGTCTAATAAAAGAACTACTTATCTTAATTTTTCTAGATTGGTTGTGGTGAGTGGTATAATCTTTATTGAATAATGCAGCCAAACATAAACATGAAGAATTTCAAGGAACAAAAGAACAAAAGAATACTGGTTGTATTTAATCAAGACAATTTTAGCACATTAGTTATAGTGATATATATGTAATGATACAAATTTCAGATCCTATAGTTTAGAAAATCATGGAATATAAGGTTACTGGACCGTTGCCTTTGTTTCTCCTTGATCTGTGCTCTTAGCTTGATTACTGGTTTGCTTGATTTCTGTAATAATGATTTCAGCATTCATAGTTTCCTTGTTTGCTTTCTTGCCTGATTTTTGCACACTTTCCTTGCTTGCTTTCGTGCCAGATTTCTGCAATGTTAATACTTGTGACTTTCCTTTCAGAAAACATACACGAGTTCAATAATTTAGGTGAAACACAGCCCTAACACATTTCTTCACCTAACATGTAACTAAGAATATCTAGAAGAAAGCTTCACAAGATCAACAGAGATCACCCCATGAATCCGAAGAACCAACAATATTGACCACACTCCTTTATTAACTGATCATGGGGCTTTGGTAGGTTTAAATTAAGCTGATGAATAGGGATTGACTTGAGGATAAGGAACTTCAATGGTTCCTTCTAGCTTCTGTGAGACTCTCTTCATAGTGGGTCTCAGCAATGGGTGATCTTGAATGCACCAAATGGCAATCATTACAAACTTCTCTACCCTGTTAATGTCCTCCATTGCCTCTTCATCCTCCTGAACTAGAAGA